GTTGTTCAGTTTCCATGTATTCGTCTTTATTGTTTTTGCCTTCTTATTGTTGAATTCTAGTTTTATAGCACTGTGGTCTGAGAAGATGCTCTGTAGAATTTTGATGGTTGTGAATTTATGGAGCTTGTTTTGTGACCTGGTCAAATTATGGAAAATGTTCCATGTGCACTGGAAAAGAATGTGTATTGTGCCATTGTTGGATAGAATGCTCTGTATACATCTATGAGGTCAAGTTGGTTGATTGTGTGTTTGGTTGATTGTGTTGTTAAGTTCCTCTGTAGCATTGTTGAATTTCTTTCTGGTTTTTCTATCCCTTTTTGATAATGGTGTGTTGAAATCTCCCACTATAATTGTGGATTTATGTATTTCTTTCTTCAATTCCATTAAGGTTTGCTTCATGTATCTTGGTGCTCTTTCGTTAGGAGTGTATATGTTTATTATGGTTATGTCATCTTGTTCAGTTGACCCTTTGATCATGAGATAGTGTCCTTCTTTGTCTCTTATGCTGGTTTTTATCTTAAAGTCTACTTTGTCAGAGATTAGTATTGCCACTCTTGCTTGTTTATTGCTGCCGTTGGCTTGGTAAATTTTTTCCATCCTTTAACTCTTTGTCTGTTTTTGTCTTTGTGTATAAGGTGTGTCTCTTGCAGGCAGCATATTGATGGATCTTGTTTTCTCATCCATTCTGCTACTGTTTGTCTCTTCACTGGTACATTCAATCCATTGAGATTCAATGTAATTATTGAAAAGTATGAATTGATTACTGTCATTATGTTACTTTTTTGGCGGTGCTGGTCATTCTTTGGTTCTGCTTTCTTTCTTGTGTTGGCTTTATGTTCTTTGAGTTGTTTCTGGTCGGTTTCTTCCTAGTTTCTCTGTTTGCTTCTTCTGCTTGGGAATTCGTTTTTATGACATGTTGTGGAATGTTAACTTTCTTTGGGGTTACCTTGTAGTCTACTAACTTTTCTCTGTATTTAGGATAACTTGTAATGTACCTGACATCCCCACTACCTGGGCTTTCATTGCTGCATTTGTCCCTTCTTTGACATTGACATGTTTTTGGCCTTCAGTTAATCTCCCCATTCCTTTGAGTTTGTTGTTGTAGTCTCGTTCTGTTCTGGACTTCAATAGTCACTGCCTCTCTCCCTTTCTCTGTGCCGTGGGTAAAGTGACCTGCCTGATGATCTTGCTGAGATCTTAAGCCGGGGTAGGGAGATTTTTGGGGGAAGCTATGTCGTTTCTTGTGGCTTTTTTGTTCAGGGTCTCCCCACCCCCACCCCTTTTTTTATTTTTTGTCTTCCTGCTGGAAATGTTGCTTTCCGAACGGGCTGGCCTTAGCCCCGCCCTCTAACCTCTGCAGTTGCTGGAGCGACCTGCCGTCCCATGGGCGAGAGTCCCAAAATGCTAGTTTTTTCCTTAGCAGCATGATTTCTCAAAAATGCGAGTTCGGGAGACCGAAATACTAGATCTTATGATAGTACAAAAGCCGTGGGTCTGTTATATGAACATTTCCTTCCTAAGATCTCCCTCCCTTCTCACCGGAGCTTTCCCTACCTCACTCTCCTGGCTGTAGCCCGGAACCGGAAACCTGTCATCTGTTCTTGTTGTTTCTCCGTCCCCAGAACTACCTTTAGAATGTTTTTAAGTGCTGGGTTGGTTTTGATAAAATCTCTCAGATTCTGTTTATCCTGGAATGTTTTGATCGCACCATCATATTTGATTGATAGTTTTTCTGGATAGGTGATTCTTGGTTGACAGTTTTTTTCTTGCAGGGTTTTGTATATGTCTCCCATTGCCTTCTTGCCTGCATGGTTTGTTCTGAATAGTCAGAGCTTAATCTAATTTGCTTGCCTTTATAAGCAATATTTCTCTTCTCCCTGGCCACTTTTAGTATTCTTTCCTTGTCTTTGATTTTTGAGAGCTTGATTATTATATGTCTTGGAGACTTTCTTTTGGGATCTATCCTTCCTGGGGTA